TGTATTAGAGTCTCTTTCTGTTTCTCTCCTACACATTTTGATGTGGGTTTTTCTCTTTGGTCTGATGTATAGGAGTCGTTCGGCTAGTTTTCGGGTTTCTTTCAGGGGAAATTGCTGCCATGTGTCACTGTAGATTCAGTGTGTCTGTGGGAGGAGGAGAATTCTGGGTCCTCCGACGTCACCATCTTGACCCAGAACCTTCATGGACTTTCTATAGTTTCTCCACAATGTCGTTTTCTGTGCAAAAAGGATTTTTTATGCCAACAAATATCAAAACAAGGCCTTTTCATGTTTCATTGTGTATGTTCTCCAAAAGTTACTTTTCAATTCCTTTAGCAGTTTCATATTGAATGTGTAGACTATTTCAGATTCTTTTTCTATTATAAATAACCGTCATGGGCATCCTTGTGCTCACGTTTTGTCTAGCTAGGCAGTTATCTCCTCGGGTAAGTCCCTGGCAACTGGATGGGTCGGTGGGAGGGACTGCCTGTTTCCCATTCGATGCGCAGTGCTCAACTTCCCTTTGGGAAGGTTGTACCGATGCCCCAGGGCACCCCTGTGGCTCGTTTGCCTCCTGATTTTGTCTTTCCATCTTTGCCGATCTCACTGTGCTTAAATGGTATCTCTGTTATTCCAATTAGTGTTTCTTTGATTAGGAATGAACGAAATTGTTCTTTTCATACTGTAACTGGTTGTTTCTTATTTTTTAGCTTGCTCATTCCTAACAGCTATCTGGTTTTTAAAACAGTGAGCTGTGAGAATCCTTCATATATGGGGTTGGTCATTAAGTTCCTTTAGTTTTTTCTCTATAATGGCTCTAGTAATGCATAGTTGTCTTTAATTTGAAACAATTTTGTTAGATTGTATTGTGACAGCTGTCATATCAGCATGTTTTTAAAACCTTAACCAAAATTGGTGAATTTTTGTGTAGCCATTTTAATATTGAAGATGGAAGATGCGCAACGTTTTTGGTATATCATGTTTTATTATTTCAAGAAAGGGGAAAACAATTGAAATGCAAAAAATTTGTGCAGTGTATGGGGAAGGTGCTGTGACTGATCAAACACGTCAAAAGTGGTTTGCAAAGTTTCTTGGTACTATTGACATTTTGGTCAAGTTATTCTTTGCTGTGGGCTGTCTTATGCAGTGGAAGATGTTTAGCAGCACCCCTGGCCTCCACCCACTAGAAGCCAATAGCGGGAGACAGCCGAGATACTCAAAATATCCAAATCAATAAAGTTATTGGGGAAAATGAAAAAACTTTTATTTTATGGAAAAAGTAAATGGACTTTATGGCCAACCCAGTACATAAAGGGCCTTATTTTTCTGTCATGTCGCAAATATTACTGCTTTCCACTTACAACTTTCCCATTGCCTTTCATTCTTGTTTATGTCCTCCTCTCTCTGTACAGAAACTCTAAGTTCTTATAACTTAACTTTATCAATATCTTTCTTTATAATTTCTGATTAGGATGATGAAAATCCATGTCTCTTTTTCTAGTCCTTCTGCGGCCTTCTTTGGGGGGATCAGGTGTGTAAACTTATGGAAGCATAACATACATGTATCCAAGTGTCCAAGTCATTCCCGTCCTCATCGCCTCAGCCTCTTTTCACAGAGTGACCGCATCCCAGACTCTGGCCCAGAATTCCTGACCTGCCCTCTTCAGGCCATCAGAGTATGTGAGGGTCAGGCCAGCTGGCCCTTCATTATTTATTGAATAACCTAGTTTTTACTCATATTTCTATAATTCTGGGAATTATGGGTCTGCATGCAGCCCCACTGTTTTAGTCCATTGACTGGTCTGGTATTGTCCTTGTCACGTGACAGTGTTCAATGACATTTATGGTGCAATTTCAAAACCGGCTGTCGAAGCCCCACCACATTGCTCTTCGCAGATACATTTCAGAATCATTTAGTTATATTCTGCCTCAATCCTATTAAGATCTAATTATTAATTTGTTAAATGTATCAGTTAATGTAGGAAAAATTGTGGGGTTTTTTTTGTTTGTTTGTTTTTTTGCATTGTCTTCCTCAGATCAAGGTTTGCGCTTCCATCTGTTCAATGTTCCTCCTACACCCCTCAGTGGAATCTTTGTGGTTTCTTCAAATAGATCCCGCGCATCTGGTTTACTCAGGCATTTTACGGCTTTTCATTGTTATTGCAAATAGATTATTTTCTTTCATTATAACTTCCCGTTTAACATTCTAACAAGTTATTTGCATTTACAGAGGTTATTGAGTTTTTGTCTATTGATTTTTAAAGAGCTAATTCATTCTGGATGGTTTTTCATTTGAGTCTCCTGAGTTATTCAGTTATATCAGGCTTATACTTGTGTCCTGTGACTTTTATTTCTCCGTGTTGAATCCTTCCAGCTAGCATTTTCACGTGCTTAAGGTTTCATCGCTTACAAAATGTAAACTGAACCCTACCGACCAGCTCTTTCCAGCCAAACGATTTAAAAGGGCTCCTTCCCCCGGTCCTCATTTCCTTCCGCCGGCTCACACCTTCACCCTCTCCCGCCTGGCTGCCACCATCCTGACTCTGCCAAAATGATTCCTGGCGAGGCCTCTGGTGACCGCCACATCTGTAAACCCAGGTGTTGTGTTAGTCCGACTCTCCGGTGACCTCTCCCTCACGTAGGGGACTGACGGCCACGCCCTTGCTCTCTGCAAGGTTCCGTGGTTTCCCTCCTGCATCCTTGGCTCTTCCTTCTCCATCTCTGTGTGTACTGTCCTCTACTCGTTATTTCTGAGGGTTCATTTTGCTCAATATTAGACCCTCAACTTTTCATAGTTTACTCTCCACTTAGGTGATCTCACCTGTTTTTTTTTGTTAATGACCAACTCTTGGCTCATAACTCCCAAATGTGCATCTCTAGTCTCGGCCTTTCTTCTGAACTCAATTCAATATCCAATCTCCTCGTCAACATTTCCACTTAAATGTCCCCAAATCACCTTCAGCCCAGCATGTCCAAAGTTAAACTCATGGCCCTTCTCCCCAAATCCACGTCTCTTCCAGATGCCATCAGTGAATGCCATCACCGTCCAACCCGGAGTCGTCGTCCTCTCTTCCTGTCTCTTGTCATCACATCCATCCCTCCAACATGTGGTTTTAACAGCCTAACGGATGCTGAGCCATCGTCGTCTCTGCCCTCCCACCACGGGCATGTGCTGGTCCAGACTACTGCCACCTCTCACTGGACCGAGAGTCCTGGCTGGTCTCCTCCTGGGTGCTCTTGCTGTCATTTAAGTCATTTTCTTTACTGCCTCCTAGGGACCTGGCATGATTCTTGTGCTTTAACCTTTCATTGTCTTGCCCTTCCTGTCCTCATAAAGACCAAAATCCTCAACGTGATTTACAGGGCGCTTGCTAGCTACCAAGATGAGGCCCCATCTTATACTCTCTTCACCTGCTGTTTGCTTAGCTATAAACAGTCTGGTTCTTCTTGTTTTTTCCCTGGGGCTTTTTCACTTGCTGTTACTGGCAGCCACTCCCTCCCCCCTCCCCCACCTCCAGGAAGCTGTGATTCATTCCCTGCTTAGGAAAGCCCGCCCTCTGGCCCTAAACTAACTATGTTTCCCTGTTACGAGCTCTTCGAGGACTTCCAGATTCCCCTTCTTATTGTTTATCAGGTCATAGTTGCCCATCTGCCAGGCTCCTTAAAATCTTCCTCTTCCAATAGACTTTAGGCTCCATGAAGACAGGGATATATGCGCATTTTGCTAACTTTTTATCCCTACTTCCTTCTCCAGGGCCTGGCTTACAGGAGGGACTTGGAACACGTTGTGAGTGTTTTAACTGGCTTTTTATTTTGTATAAACAAATTTATTTTTCCTATTAATTTTGTATTTAACGATTTTACTGACATATCATGGATCAGCTTGGGTCCTCAGAAAAGCGAATGGCACCACGGAAGTAATTCCATCCCCGTGACTATGCGAGGGGTCTGTTGGGAAATACGTGGGAGAGGGGGCAGGAGTGGCAGAGAGAGACCACATCACGGTGCAGGCGTGACAGCAGCAAGGGCCCCGGATAGCTGGCGTTTTCCTTTCAGTGAAGCGCAGAGTTTTATGTGCCAGGACTTTATTCACAAATCTTGAATCAATACTCACACACGAGATGGTGGCTGGGTTTTGTCTTTTATCTTTTCTAGGTTCTCATTACCATCCAGGTTCCATTAAAATGAAATGAACTTTTCTTCTTTCCCTGGAACCTGTTCCTGCCCAAGGTCGGAAAGAACCGATCTGTGAAGGCGGACCTGGCACTTGCCTGGACGCTCTCTTCTGGTCGTTTCTGTTGCTTCTAAATCTTCTGAGTAAATGTGTGAGGAAGCTTGTTTTATTATCTCCTTGTTCAAATTTTTGAGCAAAGAACTGGGGGTAGTATTTCCATGGCTCTTTCATCCCCTGTATTAGTGACTGTTTTCTTTTACGCTCTTAATTCCATGCCTTTATGATTTTTCACTTTCACAACTAGCTTTTTTTTTTTTCCAAAATAACCCCTGGGTCTGTTTTCCAAGTCAACTTATTTGTTTTTAACTTATTCACTCAGGCTTGTGTTTCTATCCATTCTTTTGCACTAGTTTCTTGTTTATTAACTTACTTTACTTCTTGAGTCAGAAGTGTAGTTCAGGGTTAACTTATTTTACTTCTTGAGTCATAAGTGTAGTTCAGGGTTTATTAACAAAACCTACAATTATTTTGGGACCATTTTCTGAATATAAAAATAAGCTTGTTGTAGAACTTCAAATACAGAAATGTATATCCCCACTGCCTCTCTTAATAGTTTGGGGCATATTCCTCCCAGTGCTTTCCTAGGTATGTATTTGTCTCTCTCGGTGTGCCTGTGTTATCACAGTAATATTTGCATACATGTAAATGTGTATATTCTTATATATTTACAATGTATGTATTGCATATATACACACAGATATATGTGCATGCATAGACATACTTTTTACTTAATTATGAAGCTGAGGTCTCTGGGAGAGTGGGCCAGGCCTCTCACAGACCTGAAATGGCTGAGAGCGAGGGAAGACTGGCTGGGGCTTTGACCGTGGTTGCTAGAGCTGGGGTTCCCATGCAGGGACAGGGGCTTGCGTGATTTAAGTCTACTGCCAGGGCCAAAGGAAGTAGCACTTGGGATGTTTTATAAGCTGTCCAGAGGTTGGGGACCAAGAGGAAGAGGGCAGGGTGAGGCTTAAAGGCTGGCAGGAGCCACCTTATGGAGCCAGACTCCTCTTCACGCCAAGTATCCACATCTGTATGTGTGTAGCAGGCCTGTGTGTGACACACACACTCACCCACCCACACACACATCTGCATACATGCATCTACATGCTGCAACTGCCTTTCTCATGAACTCTCTTATGTCAGTGCATATAGATCAGCCTCATTCTTTCAAGTAGGTGCACAGATCTCCGATGTGTGGGTGCGTCATAGTCACTGTCTAACGAATAAGTTGCTCCTATGCCGTTTCTCTATGGTTTTATAACGGGACGCTGATCACTGTGCACACCACACCTTTGCACATGTGTAGCCGTGTTAGTCATTTGACAGTCATCGAGCTCTTGTGCGTTCCAGATGCTGTGTAAGCCAAGGTCCCAGGTTCTCTGAAGTTACGGCCTAGTGGAGGATGGACACAGGAGAGTTACACGTTAGATGTGAGCAGTGCTACACAATCAAGTAACAGGGAAAGGAGAGCGTGCTGAGGGAGGTCTGCCACCCCGGGTGGCTAGGGCGGGCCTCCACACTGCGGCAGACACCCGGGAGTGACTGGGATGTTAGCGGGAGAGGCCGAATTTGGTAGAACAACTCTACTGAGTGATTTTTGGGTCAAAGGGCATGCATGCTTTAAATTATGATGCATTTGTCAAATTGTCTTTATTTTTGAAAATTCATACACTCCCCAACATAACATTAATGCGTTCTTAAACAAGTATCCCTGTTTCCTTCCATCATCACCAAAAAGGATAGTGACCTTTTTTTTTGAAATGTTTTTTGCTTTGGTGCAAAATAAACAATACCATCTTCATTTATAATTCGCTCACTTTCAGCAAGGCTGAGCATCTGTTATTATCCATTTGCGTGATTTTTACTTTTTCTACAGCCCATTAGTCACTTATAATATAGATATTTGTTGTTTGCTTTTGGATTTTACTATTTTTTTGCATACAAAACAAACATTTTTTGTAGCCAATTTACCAATTACTTTCATGTGAGTTCAAGTGAGTTCATGTTTTGTGTCACACACAATGGCCTTCACCGCTTGTTCATCCATCGTTCTAGAACACTGCGAGTTCAAAGGCTTTCAACGTCTCATCTACTTGATGCTTAAGGCCCGAGGTAAGGCACTGGCATTAAAAAGCAATGGAACAATGTCTCCCTGGGTGTTCCAGGCCGTCGGTCTTCTTTTTGTCGGGCTCCTCTCCACTGATGCACTGCCCGTTATAACAGAGCAACTGTCCAGATCCTCAGGTCTGTTCCCGCACCAGCCACACTGCTGGTGACGGAAACTCGGACGGCTCTTAGGCCAACGACCCCCTCAGGCTCTCCCACCCCCACAGGTTTTCCGAAGTTTCCTGATTTATTTCAAAATTAACTTCAAATGGAAGGAAATTTACTCTAAAAATTAAAAATCTTACTGAGATTGAGAATCCATTAAAATTATGGATTACTTTGGTGAGAATTATGCTATAAAATAACAATACTGCATTTTCCCATCTAAGAACTAAATAGACTTATTCAATTTTTCATGTCTCTCAGAATTTTCTTCTTGTAGTTTATTCCTAAGTATTTTACTTTGGTTCTCATTCGCTGTGTCCCACAAATTTGTTACATTTTTAGTACACTGAATGTATTTATTTTTGAGATTGCCTTGACCCAAGGTTTAGGTTTTCTAGAGATTTTGCCGTTATCTTTGTTTTGCCGTTATCTTTGTTATTTATAGCCTGAGCCCATTTTAGGCAGAGGACCCATTCTGTAATTCTAAAAGATTCTTTAACATCTGCTGAGGTTCATTTTATTGCCCAGAATCCGGTCTGTTTTGCTAGCTGGGAGAGCCTGTACATCCTGTGGCTGCTGGGTGGTGGTGTACAGTTTATTTTTAAATCCCCCTGCTTATTTTCTACCTAGTTCTATCAATTGCCAAGAGAGGGGTGCCTATGTCTCCAGTGTATGTGGATTTGTTTTTACTCAATGCATTTTGAGGCTCTTTTGCTTGGTGTATAAACCTTTCACATGGTCTTGCTTGGTGTATAAACCTTTCACATGGTCTTGTTGGAATGGGCTGACTTTTAGAAGTAGAGATTATCAGAGCTTTCTTTATGGCACAGTGAATGTGAAGTGGGGCTCGGAAACTTGCATTTTAACAAGCTTCCTAGATTTTCATAATCAGGTATTAGTTAGAAATCTTGCTTGCAAATGACAAATTGACTTTGGTTAACAGAAAGAAATTTATTGAATGTCCAGTAGCGCCCACTGGACTACTCAAGTCCTTCTGGGAAGCAGAGCCCTGCCCGCCCACCCGCACCCCAGGGGATCCCAGGAGATGAAGCACTTGTTCTCCCTGTTCCCGGCTGGGTGAGCTGTTTTCCGAGCTGAGCTCAGGCCTCAGGGTTCCCAGCCCCTAGGACACTGAACTAGGTGCAGAGGATGTGAGGTGGGGATAGTTTAAAACTCATTTCGTTGGTGGCGAGGATTTCGATGTCCAATAATGAAAGGGGCAGCAACAGCAGGATTTAGGCACACGCCTAAATATGGCATGATCTGGTTACAATCCAGGCTGCCCAGTCTCTTGGTTTCTACACCTTTTCCGAGCCTGCTTTCCCAGCCTTATACAATAGATGGATATATGCATATACACACATGTTTATAAAACTCCTGTTTGGGGAAAATTGTGTATACTTCGCTTTGGGAAATTAAATCAGAAATGGTACCTATTACTTGAGAGAAGGTAACTTAGAGAATGGCTATAACGTGTCTTTACTTACGTGTCTGGTGAATCCTTATTTCACCTTTGGCGTGAGGATCAGTTTAGAAGTAACTGGGGCACAATAAACTAAGTCATCCTTCGTGACCTGCAGGTTCTTCTGGACACATCGTTGCTGGGCGCCCTGTGTCTTTTCGCGTCTGTCTGTGTTGTATGCGCCATTTCTGCATTTACTCTCCCCATTGAGACCAAAGGCCGGGCCCTCCAGGTAAGTGGTGCGGGAATCTCTTAACTACTCTCAAGAACCACCTTTTACACAAAGAAAATGAACTTGGAGTACAGAAGTCCTTTTAAGCAGCCATGATGACACTACCCTGTGCTAACACTGAGGTTGAGCGTGTTTCAACAGAAAAACTGCACACCCCTTTCCTGCACGTAGCTTTGAGCAGCACTGACGTTAAAGTAACCAATTAACCACTTCAAACCTCTGCTTCCTGTTAAAAGTTACAGCTTGATCCAGGGACCACAGTGAAAGATAGTTGTTGAGGTCTTAGCATTACCCTTCCCGCTTTCCCCCCTGGATTTAAGCACTGCCGTGGGACTAAAGGTGGCCCGAGAAGCCGAAACGGCTTTGTGTTGCCTTTAGATTGACAGGGTGTATACACAGTGGCCCAGCTGCCTTTCCCCTGGCACCATCCGCCCACGGGAAGAGCTGAGTCGAAAGCTTCAGCTGCACCAGTTGCCGCTCAAGACACCTGTTTACTGTGTCCCAGGTGTGGTGCAAGTCTGCTCCCGCAGGCAAGGCTGTAGAAGACAGGGCCTCCCCATCCCTCCCTGTGTCCTGACCAAAGTGTAGGTGGCAGCACTGACGTCTTCCTGCCTTAAACACAGAGCTTGTTGCTGGAACACAAGGACATGTGTGCACGCATACAGGCACAGGGAAGGTGAGAACAGCTGGGCCTAGTCTTGAGTTGCTGTCCCTGAATGAGGCTGTCAGTCGTGATGCCCCTCCGCTGCCTGCGAGTTGCCCTCTCTCCCATGTCTCAGTCATCGTACACCACGGACGCGTCAGTGTTCGTGTTGGTACAGACATGTTGTCTGTGAGTAGTTGTAAGGAAGGCACTACAAAGGAAAGAACACGTCACTCTTGGTATGTTCTTCCTAGGTCCAAAATACACTACTCCACTTTTTAAAAACCCTAGCTTATCTCTAAGGTAACAATATGCATTTTAATCCAAGACTAGATAACCTGCCACATAATTCAGAATTTAGGGCGGTGTTTAGGTTCCATAATTGGAAAGGTAACCCATTCATTGAATACCTAAAGCTACCGATTAAATTTGATGATTCCTATCATTCCTTCTAATCTTGTATGAAGGAAGTATCACATCCTTCACACAAAAGAGGAGACTAAGGCAAAGGTAAGTCTAGTAACTTGTATAATGGAACACACACCAGTTTGCAGTAGGACTGGAATTTAAAATGAATTGCAAAATTAAGTGAGGTTAAACCTGAATATGTTCCCACGCTTATTAAGTAGTACCACTACATACAGCAGGAAACTAGGATCGCTACCTCTGTGCTCTATGGATTTCCAGCTGAGGTCACGTCCACTGAAAAAGGCCCAGCCCTCCTCCTGCTGACTGGGACCTGATGTTAGCATTGGGGTGGAGTCATGACACATGTCTGTTCGTAAGCCTTTCGAATACAACTCTGATGTGCCTGCTTGGTAAACAGGCTTGGGCACACAGAGCCACTGAGTGCCTCTATAAAAATCTTAAAAGGTGTGTCTCACAGTCTTATGAACACTTAACATATGAAACTAGTGGCTGACACAATAAAACTAGAAATGTTTGAACATGCCGAAAAAATTTTACTTCCAAAAATAGTTTGGATAAATCAATGTGGTTAATAGTTGAATAATTCTAAAGTACAATTGTATTAATTTTGATGAGCCTGGTAAACTAAAAAATAAACTCATAATGAAAGAGGATATTTATAACGTCATTTTTTTCCCTGATTGACTGCCTGTATTGCACTAGAATAGCTGAATTTTAAAGCGATCATTGCATCGTCAGGTACACAATGGTAAGTTTTCCAAGTTTATTAAAGAGCCTTCTATTACTAGTTTCTAGTGCCAGACAGCTGAATATGAATGAGGAGAAGGCTTTCTTTTTATTAAATGTATTGATCTATTAAATAACCTTTTTCCAGCAAATGAAATGAAGACCTGCAAACACATCTACCAAAGAAAAATGCATTTTATCTTCAAGAAGAGCTGTGGTACATTCTTCAAAACCTGCTTTTATTTCTGTGTGCTACTGGGCAACTAAGAAACCAATTATTTAAAAAAAGGCACATAAGAATAAGGTGGGTTAACTGCATATTGATCTCTTCTCTAAGAGTCAATATACACAGAACTCACATGGAATATACGTTGAAACTGGGAAGGCATGTCTGTGGGAGATGGTGGCTCTTCTTCCTTGACATCATGGCTTAACCTTCAGTAGGTGAATGATTTTCAGACAAAACACACGTACAGTTGTTATTCTCCCATAAAGTCTATAGCAAAAGTTAGACTGAGACTTTGTAGCTAAGACAAGAACTTGAGGTGGCATCATTAAGGTTTTCAAAATAGCCATCACATTTATAATATACATTAGCATATTCATTAAAATTGAGGCCTCCATAGTTTATTAAAGTTGCTTATTCATGAAATGATATATGCTTAAATTAGTGTGAATCTTGTATATAATTACCAAGAAGCTGGGAATGAACTAATTTTCCCCATACATTGTTTCTATTCTAATTTACAGGGGAATCTTTGATTCACATGATGTAACAAAAATTAATGCAACGAGCTTGGCCCTGGTTGGGTAGCTCAGTTGGTCAGAGTGTTGTTCCAATTCGCCAAAGCTATGGGGTTTGACCCCGGGTCAGGGCACATACAAGAAACGACCCATGGATGCATACACAAGTGGAACAACAAACTGATGTTTCTTTCTAAAAATCAATTTTTAAAAAAGTGCAGCAAGCTTACCTACATCACGTAATGTTTGTTTGCCCTTCGTTGGTTGAGCTGCATGATCTCATACTTACGCACACCTCTCTACCAGTCTAGGCATGCTGTGAAAAGGAAACACCTACGGTTTATACATTCACATTGAGTCTCTCAGTCCTGTTCAGACTTACTGTGGAGACCTTGGAAACTGGGGACCCCAAGGCTTGGCTCACCTGCTCCCCTCACCCCCATTTGGCACTGGAAAACGACTGGCTGCGAGCACCCAAACTGCCCCGCACTAGAGCTGTGTGTGTGTGAGTTCGCACCCCCGCTTCAGTAAGGGTGCAGCTCACCCCTACCTGAACCTCTGGTACAAGTGGCTTTAAGCAAGGAAGCCTTTTCTCTAAATAGCCAGGCAGTAAATTCTCTGGGCTTTGTAAAGCTACATATGATCTGTCGCTGTTTCCCCTCCACAAGCCTTTCAATATGTAAAAAATATTTTCAGCTGGCCATAGGTTGAATTTGGTTGAAATTAATTTCTAGGCCCAAGATGAAGGCTGTCCCCGCCTGGGGTGCCACAGCAGCGAGCCAAATCTGCTCTGCGCGACCACAAACGTAGTGTAACCAGCCGCCCCACCAACGCTGGGCTCTCTGTCTATCTTCTTGTTCCTTATTCTTGATGCTATAAGAGCTTCCTGCCTTCTGCCCCATGCTCCAGTCCATAGGACCCTCAGGACTGTAGACTGCCTGCTTCGGCAAGTGTTAAATAAAGTTTGTTTGAATCACTTCAACTGTCTTCTTTAACCATGTAAACAGTCTTGGTGACAAGGATGGAAGCTGACTGCCAGCGGCCTGCGGGAGGACACATAGGCAAGGAGCCCGCCGAACCCTTTGAGTTCACTGTTCCTCCCGTCAGAACCGAGGGCAAGTCACTCTTGAGCTCCGCCCCCTGGCGTGTAACTCTCCAATCTAAACACTTTATTTTAAAATATATATTGCAGTTCCAGGACAGTTATATTGCGAGTCCACAATAAGTGGTAGCTGTTAGGGAACTAACTCAAAGCCGTGAGGTAAGTCCACAGTGTAAACCAAACTGCGGGGAGATAAGAAATCAAGATTGCTTTAACCAAAGGCAAAACAGACAGTTAAAAGCCCTCAGGACTTTGGAACTATAAAGAAATCTCAGGAGTGGAATAAGGGATCTAATGCTAATAGGGAATCTCAGAAGCCAAAGCTGAAAAGTCAGTGGGCATGGGTCAAACACCTGTCACACATCAGAGCAATCACCACCTACATCTGTGACTTCCACGCTAGGAGAGGTCACTCATGGAACAGATTAGACTGAAGTTAGTTCACCTCAAGAAAGATTCCATGCCAGTGAGGTGTGCTGTAAAACACCACGCAATCCCCAACCCAGGAGCACATAAGAAATGGGATCCTCAAGTTTTAAAGAACTGAGTGTTCTACTTTCTGGCTTATAGGCTTATCTGCTGATTTTATGTCTCAAAACTGTGGTCCTAGAGGCAGCAGACACCCAGAAAAATGGCAAACTCTTGTTAAAAACAACGTAAAATTACAAATGGCCATTATGGAGAATGTTCCAGTTAGACACGATTATTTACTTAAGAAGCAGACATGAAACTAAGGGCTCCCAAAGCAACAACCAGAATGGGATGCCTATCTTAACTGGTACGCAGACGACTCCCCCCACCACAAAAGCCTGAAACAGCCTCATCGAAAGACTCATTGCAAAAGCGTAAATGAAAAGGACACAGGTACTTAGAACCAGACTGATGCAACTGCCCCAGCTCCCCTCTGCCTCAGTACCACTCTGCTAGTATTCCGTCCGCACCGCCTTTTTGCTCTGGAGAGACCACATGAAACCATAAACAAGACACCGGGACACCAGGAAAAGAACGTCCTTGAAGGGTTTGTCAAATCCTTCCCCGCTCCTGTATCCGCTCTCAAAGGAGGCCCCGCTATGGGCCCTTCCCAAGGTTGATGTGACTCCTTTAAACAGCCAAGGGGAGACTGAAAGGAAAACCCTGCCAAATTCTGGTTGATAACGGAGCTACACCTACTTGAAACCCTACTCACGCTATGGCGCCTGCAAATGGGATCTGGGGAAAAGGAGCAGAATCTGGTGAAAAGTGAGGATTCTTACCCACGTCAGTCAGCTCTGCCGGATCTCTGCAGTGCCTGGTCAAGAAAGGAAACATCAAACTTGAATGGATATTTTAAAAACTTGTAGAGTATTTGTGGAAAAGGGATTTTCTGTGTGATCAAGCTGAGTAAGATTAAGAATAGATTTAAGTTTTTGAAAAATGAGTTTTAATATCAAAAGTATACTGGTGCAAAATTAAAATTTTCTTCCCTGTTAAGAGGACAAAATTTACTTAAATTATTGGTCTAATCTTTAGAAATTACAAGTAAAGGGTTTTCCCCTACCTTTCAAGTGACCTGCCTGGAAGGTCAGTATCTCACCAGAGTTAGTTCAGTGTGTTTCATGTAGTCTTCATCAGTCTCCGAACCCCATCTTCTCGGTATTACAAGAACTAAAAGGCTTTTTGTAACAACTGTTTAACCTGCTGTATTTACTTCAGTCACACTGGATAAACAGGCATTTCTGACAAAATTCCCCCAAATAAAATTCTAGAATCTTTCTGACCTTGAACTATCTTGAAAAGCACAGGGGAGTTAAGTGTGCTGACCCCTTTCTTCCCCTCCAGCATGCAGTTGGAAATCCACGTATAACTCCCCCCAAAACAACTACTAAGAGCCTACCCCTCTGCTGACCGGAAGCCTTACCAATAACAGCTGACTTGACGTGTCTTGTTGTGTGTGGTGCACACTGTATTCATATAATAATGTAAGCTAGGGAAAAGACATTTACAGTACTTATTGAAAAAAATCGGTATAAGTGGACTCATGCAGTTCAAACCTATGTTGTTTAAGGGTAAACTGTAAAAAGAGAAATGTTAAACCAATTAAGCTTACTTGATACATTAAATTATATAAGAAGCATGTCAAGTAAGTGATGTTTAACCTTTCTAGGTTATATTTGTATGGGTATATTAAGTGGTTCCAGAAACTATAAAATTCCTAAAAACCTGCTATATCCTAGTATAATGCTATCATCAGTCATAATTCCAGTTATCTTAAAATGTTATATGTCAGAGAAATAACCACATTTCCTTGTCAGTTCCACTACAGTCTTTTGTTATCTACACAGAGTTAATTGTTTTACTCTGATCTTTTGTGAAAGTGAGATTCATGGAAGAGACCCTACCAAGTATTCCTGATCCCTGACACTACTCCCAAATTTCAAGGTGTCAGACCTTGGGTATTTCACAGCTGAAGAAGGCGCCACCTGACCTCTGGTACTATGTGAAAAATAGATACCTCGACTGACTGGGGAGAGAAGTACCCAACATCTGGGCTGCTTTCTCCCAAGACACAGGATCAGGAAAGATTTCTCCATTCCCTCTCTGATCATCCTTTTCTTAATTTTTATACCACACAGATAATTTGATTCATCTGTCAATCTTTTTCCTTCCCCTAGCCTGACAAGATAATACCATTGTTCCTATATCTCAGGCCATTACAAAGGAGGGTAATTCAACCACCAACACACACTTTTCTGACTTCGAATGCCTCGGTTTCTCTGGAACAATTTACGGAATATTTCTGGGGAAGTAGAGACACAGTTATACAAAATACAAAGAGGACAACTGGCTTAAATAAATATCTTTCTCTTTGGGATCATTTCTGGACTTGATTATAGTTTGTTTGGGAGCCCTGGTGCTGGGGTACTCTCCAAACCATGGATATTAATAGTTATTGTCTACGTAATACACTACGTTTTCTCAAAAGTTTTAAATAGTGTGAGCAGCCACTGACCACCCAACAGACCTCTTTCTAGCTGGAATGACAAAAGAGAACGGAAGAACACAACCATCTCCAAGAATACAAACCTGACACTGTCTCTTGAACACTACACTGAGACCTGATGAGGCAATAATAATTGAGGGTCACATTAAAATACACCTTAAATCGAACCTCTCGAATGCTCAAGAAGATGGCCAAAAGGGAGGGAGGGAGGCCCAAGATATAGTCCCTCCTGCCTGGGGTGCCACGTTAGCGAATTGAAAGTTAACTTGCGTGTCCCTGGAATCCTCTGCTTGACCAGAAATACATTGTAACCAGCCAGCCCGTCCCAAAATGCCACATCAACTCTGGGCCCCCAACTTACTTCTCATTGCAAAAGGCAAACAGTAAAAGCACTGGATCAACCAACTATAAAGCTAGTATAAGTGTTAAAAGACAAAATAGGAAGATCACATGTAAGTAAAACAATAAATTAATGGATACATAAAAACACACTGAAAAGTAAAAATTACAAAAACATTAAAGCAGAGGGGAATGAGTAAAAACTAGTGATTTTAGGATATTTCAACCTAAGTGACTTAACACAGAACAGACTGCTATAAATACAGGTTGGTATACATGAAGCACATGGCAGCTGCAAACCAAAACTCCACAAAAGAGATACAAGGAATAAAGAGGATCCAAACAATGCTATAGAAAATCATCAACCTACAAAAGAGTGGAAAAGGAATAGAGAAAAACTACAAAAACAATTACATTAAATGTACATGGACCAACCGCTCCAATTAAAAGATGTAGGGTGGCTGAAGGGATAAGAAAACAAGACCCGTACATATGTTGCCTACGAGAGACCCACTTTGGATTGAAGGAAATACACAGACTGAAAGTCAAGGCATGGAAAAGGTATTTCATGCAAATGGAGATTAAAAAAAAAAAAGCTGCAGTTATAACACAGACGATATGGACTTGAAAACAAAGGCTGTAACAAAAGACAAAACAGTTAATGATAAAGGGATCATCCAACAGGAGGATATTACTTTCATGAACATCTATACACCCAATGTAGGGGCAACTAAATATACCGAACACGCACTGACATAAAGGGGGAGAGACACAGCAACACTGACGTCAATGAACAGGTCATTCAGACAGAAAACCCACAAAGACAGTGGCCTCGAACACATTAGACCAAGTGGGCTTAACTCATATTTTATGACACTTCACCCAAAAGCAGAATATATATTCTTTTCAGTTGCACATGGAACATTTTCCAGAATAGACCACATGTTAGGTCACAAAACAAGTTCTCAATAAATTTAAGAAAACTGAAATCATATCTTCTCCGATCACAATAGTATGAAACTAGAAATCAGTTACAAGAAAGAAACTGAAACAAAACACTTGGAGGCTAAATACCATGCTACTACACAACAAGATTAAACAAGAAACGAAAAGATACCTGGAGGAAAATGAAAACACAATGACCCCAAATCTGGGGGAAACAGGTAAAGCAACTCTAAGAGAAAAATTCATAGGCCTATAGGCCTATAAGAAGAAACAAGAAAAAAATCTCAAAAGCAATCTAAATATACACCTTAAAGGAACTAGAAAAAGAACAACCAAGTCCAAAGTGAGTAGAAAAAAGGAAATAATAAAGGTCAGATCAGAAATAAATGAAACAGGATCTAAAAAGACAACAAAAAAATTAATGAAAATTGATAAATAGAATTAGAAATGAAAGAACTGACAACTCACGTCATAGAAATACAAAAGAAAATACTATGAACTTTATGCCAAGAAATTGGACAATGTGGCAGAAATAAATTCCTAGAAACATACAAGCTTTCAAGGTGAGTTAGGAAAAAGCAGAAAATTTGAACAAAATGATAACTATTAATTGAATCAAATCAGTAATCAAAAAACTCCCCAATGAACAAAAGCCCTGGACCAGATGGCTTCACAGGTGAATTTTAGCAAATATTCAAAAAAGAATCAATACTTATCTTTCTTTTCAAATTATTCCGAAAACCTGAAGGACAGAATGCTCCCAAACTCACTTTACAAGGTCAGCATGTTGATAACGAAGCCATACAAAGACACTACAAAAAAAGAAAATTATGGGCCAGTATCCTTGGTGAACATAGATACAAAAATCCTCAAAATATTAACAAAATTCAGCAACACATTAAAAAGATCATATAACATGATCGAATGGGATTTATTCCTGTGATGTAAGCCTGGTTCAATCTGCAAATCAGTTAAAGTGATAAACCCTGTAAATAAAATTAAGGATAAAAAAAATCATATGATCATGTCAAAAAAGGTAGAAAAAGTATTTGACAAAATCCAGCATCCACTGATGATTAAAAATTCTCAGCAAAATGGAAATAGATGGCACATACCTAAACATAACAAAGGCCCCTGGCTGGCGTAACTCAGTGGATTGAGCGTGGGCTGCGAACCAAAATGTTGCAGGTTCGATTCCCAGCCAGGGTACATGCCTGGGTTGCAGGCTATAACCCCCAGCAACCACACATTGATGTTTCTCTCTCGCTATCTCCCTCCCTTCCCACTCTAAAAATAAATAAAATCTTAAAAAACCAAAAAACAAAAACAAAAACAAAACAAAAACAAAGTCCTGTATGACAAACGCACAGCTAACATCAGAGTCGATGGTGAAAAGCTAAAAGGGTTTTAGAATGAGAAACAAAGATGTGCACTTTTACCACTTTTATTCAGCACAGTATTGAAAATTTTAACCACAGCAGTCAGATAAGAAAAAAGAAAAGGCATCCAAGTTGGAAAGGAAGAAGTTATACTTATTTGCTGGTGATATGATACTATGTAGCAAGAACCCTAGAGATTCCACCAGAAACTATTAGAATAAATGAATTCAGTAAAGTAGAATACAAAATTAATATCCAGAAATCAGTTGCATTTTTATACACTATTAATGAACTATCAGAGAAATTAAGAAAACAGTTCCATTTACATGGCATAAAAAATACCTATGACAAAGTTTACTGGTAATTAAGGAGGTAAAAGACCTGTAGTCAGAAAATTATAAGACACTGAGGAAAGAAATTGAAGACAAAAATAAATGGAAGGATACACCATGAACAGGAACGATTAACATCCATAAAATGTCCATATGAACCAAAGTAATCTATAGATTCAATGCAATCCCTATCAAAATACCAATGGCATCTTTCATAGAATTAGAACAAATAATCCTAAAATTTATATGGGGGAAAAAAAAGATCCCAAATAACCAAAACAACCTTGACAAAGAAAAACAAAGGTTGAGGTATCATGATATCTGATATCTAACTAGACTACAAAGCAACCATAATAAAAGCAGCATGGTACTGATGGTGCCACAAAACAAGCAGATCATGTGGGCTGTACCCTACATGCCCTGCCTACCACAGGCCTACAGCCTAAGGGTGGTACCCTCTATATACTGCCCTCCAACCCCAATCTGCTTTTGGTGCAGAAATTCAGAGACACATGCCTGGATGAGAACAGAAAACAGCACAAAATAGCTATTCCACTAGAACAGCGGAATCAGCAATTTTGCAGATGTTGTTTACTGCAGTCTGTATAAAGTTGGGACAAAATTGAACAAACTAGATGAGTATGGTGCTTTGGAAAGGGTGAAAGCTGCTCGCGAACTCTATTCTCTTGTTTCAGAAGTAAATGAGACTGATGAGGTGCTGGTAGAAAATCCAGGACTTGTCAACACATCTTGTTATGAAGAGAGTTGAGTGATCAAGACGACACTGAGTACCCTTCATAGCCAGATGAACTAATGAGTGAAAGAGCAGATGAGAAATGCATAAAATCTATTGAGGAGTGAAAATGGAACCATCCCCCAAATAAACTAGTATGAAACAACTTAAATAGTGGTGGACAGAAGATTGAAAATAGCAACTACTAGCAAGAGCAATGAAAAAAAAGAAACTACTCACAACAATGCTTTTGAGAGAAAATACCCCTTTCTCAGGATTGTAGATAAACACAGTATATACCTTTTTCACAGCACCCTATGACTTTTAAACTAGGCTATAGTTGCAATGTTCAGAATCCCTGACATTATCTGTGGTAAAAAAATACTAACAAAATTTACTGAACTAAAAAAATTATCATCATCTCAAACTTTATGTAATACCGTAACTTGCTTACATCTATCTCTGAAATTGGGTCAGGACACTTAATGATCTCTCCATTGGAAATAATCAGCAGTGGAGAAAAGTTTTTGTTACATGTATGGTGTCAGATGATGAGCAGTAAGTACTATCTTGATTTTGTAATATACTGGGTTTGCTGGTGAAGCAATAGCCTTTCAGGAAAATAAAGAGTTTGATAATAAAATATTCAACTTCTTCATTTAAAAAAAAAAGAAACTTAACATGGTACTGGCATAAAAACACACATAGCTCAATGGGACAGAATAGACAGCCCAGAAATAAACCCATGCTTATATGGTCAATTAATCTATGACAAAGAAGGCAAGAACATACAATGGGGTGAAGACATTCTCCACAATAAACCATGATGGGAAAACTGAACAGATAACATGCAAAAAAAAAAAAAAAAGATGAAATCAGACCATTTTCTAGCACCATATACAAGAATAAACTAAAAAAAATGAACTAGAGACTTACATGTGAGGTTTTATAAAACTCCTAAAAGAAACATAGACAGTAAATTCTTTAACACTGCCCTTAGTAATATTTTTTTGAGTAAGACTCCTCAACCAAGGGAAATAAAACTAAAGAAATGGGACTAAATCAAACTAAAAAGGTTTTGCACAACAAAATAAGCCAACAAAAGGATAAGAAAACCAATTAAATGGAAGAAGATATCCGCCAATGACACGTCCAGTAGTGGGTTACTACCCAAAATACCAGGTGGGGCAAACGTTAAGTTTACAGTTGTGAGTACATAACAACACACAAAAAAACTTTTATCGCCACACTATTTTCCATATGAACTGTAAACCTACTTTTGCCATACCCTGTATATAGGAACTCATACCAAAAATAATAATCAGAAAAAAAAATGGGCAGAGGGCCCAACAGGCATTTCTACAGAGGACATACAGATGGCCAAGAGACATATGAAAAGATGATCCAGCTCACTAATCATCAGAGAAACACAAATTAAAACACAATGAGGCATCGCCTTACATCTGTCAGAATGGCGATCATCAATAAATCAAGTGTTGGCGAGGATGTGGAGAAATGGGAACCCTTGTGCACTGTTGGTGGGAATGCAAATTGGCACAGCCTCTATGGAAAACAGTACAGGGGTTTCTCAGAAAGTTAAAAATAGAACAACCATATGACCCAACAATCCCACTTCTGGGTATTTACCCAAAGTCCAAAACACTAATTCAAAAAGATATATGCATCTCTATATTCATTACAGGATTATTTACAATAGCCAAGATATGTAAGCAACCTAAGTGTCTATGGACAATTAGATAAAGATGTGGTGCATGTATACAATGGAACATTCCTCAGCCATAAAAAAGAATTAAGTCTTTCCGTTTGCGACAACATGGATGGACCTAGAGGGTATTATGCTCAGTGAAATAAGTCATACAGAGAAAGACAAATATGATACGATTTCATTTATATGAGGAATCTAAAAAAACAAACTCATAGATACAGAAAAACTGATAAAGAAGTAGATGAGATGGGATGGGATTAAGAAATACAAACAGCCAGTTATAAAAAGTTATGGGGATATACAGTATAAGAAATACAGTCAATAATAATGTAACGATACGGTGCCAGACAGGTACTGGACTTATTGGGGTTATCACTTCCTAAGATATATAAATGTCTGATCTAGATGTTGTGCATCTGAAACTAATATTGTATGTCAAATGTAATTGGAAACTAATTTTTAAAAGAATCCCAAAGAGGACAGTAGCAATTTATAATTAAAACCAAGGTCTAGCAATGACTAAAAATCTGTCAACCAATGAAAAGCCCGATATTTACACACCTTCCCCAGTTTCAGGAACCCTCGATAGCTCAGTGTATCCAGGATTATCTAACTTTGTGATATTGTCCAGCTCTGTCTAGCACCCAGGATTCCAACAAGACACCAAATTAGTATGTAGCGAACTCTAGTCATGTAAATTTAATTGAACACTAAATTTGAGAAATCTCTGAAAATGTGTGTGCTTTGCTTACATTTCTACTATTAGTCATTAGTAGAAATGGAAATAAACAAACTTCATACCACTTACCTGTGAGAACATTTTCATATTGGTCTCACAGCCTATGGAAAAACTAAGACAATAATCGTTGAAGTATTGGAAACAGTAATAATATAACTGGTATCTCTATACAAGCATATTGTAATTTACGTAATATAATACAGGTTGATTTCTCAGAATAAAATAATTTTATATGTAGAGGAGAAATTCTATTAACCCTCTTTAAAGCACAGTCTATAATAGCAAAAATTCCTTTCATAATGTCAACGCCAGCCTTTATTTTGGACTTTTTGTATGTTTATCTTTCTTAACATATATATACCATCATTAGTGAGTCCCCAACACAATCAGATTAGAGAACCTGCATCATTGTCAAAATGTTGGCACCTGGTGGCCCACTGAGCTGTGGTTCTGGGCATCTTATTGCCCCTCCTCCTCTGTCCATCTTAAGAACATTTTGTTTGGGGACATGCCACTTATCAGGTCAGTACATTGCCATTCCAAGTGTGAAAAGTGCTTAACCTGGTTAATCCATACGTTGGGTTGGCCAAAAAAGCCTGTTTAGCTTTTTTCTGTAAAATAAAAGACACACTTTTCATTTTCACCAATAACTTCATTGATTTGGATATTTTGAGTATGTTGGCTCTCTCCCACTTGGCATAATATTTATTGTTCTCAATTTATGTCTCTATTTGTTTACTAAACTTGAGCTAGTCTACCTGACTTTGGAGCATCATCCAGTGAGAAATCTCCAGCACAAAACTTTGCAAACCACTTTTGACACATTCCATTCAGTCACAGCACCTTCTCCACACACTGTGCAAATCTTTTGTGTTTGTTTTTACCTTTCTTGAAATAACAAAGCATATGCCAAAAATGTTGCCTGTTTTCTTCCATCTTCAAGATTAAAATGACTACACAAAAATTCACCTATTTTGATGTTTTTTTTTTTAATGCCTGCTGGTGTGACAGCTGTCACAATACAATCTAACAAAATTGTCTCGAATGAAGTTAAAGACAACTAAGCGCTACTAGAGCCATCTTACAGAAAAAACCGTAAGAACTATTTGGCCAACCCATTATTTTATCCTGTCCCCTAAAAAAACAATCAAAACTCGGCATCAGTCATTTTGCAATGGAAAGATTCCTGACTAAATTTTCTTTTTCACTTGGGGTTAAAGGCATTAGAGAATATGGGCAAAGAATTCATACTCACACGTATCCTGATACACGGCAGAGGGCTTTGTGAACAGAAGGGGCAACACAGCAGGTCCCACGAGCTAAGGGGCTACTTGGCAGGCCGGAGAAGCCCAGGGACTGAAAGCAACCACACAGGCCGGTCTGATGATAAATTCCTAACTGGGCAGGTTATGGCAGGTAGTCAGTCACATCCCAGGCACACCCTCCTTAGTAAAGGTCAACCTGTACCGTGAGCCCTGTCCATTGTTCTTATGCATCTAGGATAACATACCTTTGAAATGTCAGAGTAATTTTCCTTTCCTGACCCTTTGTGAAGGCACAACCACACTCTGGAGACCACGTAGCACTTCATGGTTATCTTCTTCCCCGCATACCATCTCTATGTGCAATAAATGTTCATTATGAACTATCTTGTACCCACCCATGTAAAAAGGAAGCAAGAATGACTCCATTCTCCTTTTTTATCCAATCCCAGGAATTTCCACATTTTGCGTTCTCCTGCCTCATTAATCTACCACCAAGATACTATGTAACCTTCCTCAACGTTTTCTCCTTTGACTCTAAATGTATAAAATAAGCTGCAAAACTGTCACTGTCTAGAGCATGGTCTCAATCTGTTGAGATCTTGCTTTAGGGCATGTCCTCAAATCTTGGCTGAAATAAATTTTTATCCAGTTTTCTACAGCTTTGGACATTATTTCACTGACGACTTTAAAATAGCCTTTCTTCTATATGAAAGACAAAATTTTGCTAACTGTTTAACTTCTAAAGGATTTTTTAAGGACTCAAATTAGGACTTACTCTATTTAAAACCTCATTTAAGACTCAAATAGAAGGCTGTTGCCATCCCCATCAAAGTAAGATCTATTAAGTATCCAATAGTGAGTTTTTCAAATAGTTATTTCCAAGAATCAAAACTTTCTAACCTTTAAGATAATTGACAGAAACTTTCAAAGTGACTTGTAGAAGCCCCAGATGTTGTGCAATACCCTCCTCCCCTAACAGGTTCCATGCAAGTAAAATTTTTATGGCATCTTTTATTCTGCCACTTTCAGGAGTTTGGGTTCCTGTTTTTAGAGGGAAAGGTGGAAATCAGTGTCTGAAGATATTTATCACTCCCCTTCTCCATGAATGTAGTGAAACACATGTGTTAGAATTTTTAAAGTTTCCTATTATTCATGGACGAGTAGCTTGTCCCTATGTATCAGCTTTATAGAAGACAGCACACAGTAATGAAGGCAGATACAAGTAGTTTAAATTCTACTGAATGACACCAGTGACTTTTCCATTAAAAATTCCTTGTTGTGGTAAAATATTCACAGGAAAAATCCATCGAAGCTAATTTTTATTAAAATCAAAGCACCAGTTGGCCCCCTAAAATTAAACAAACAAACAAGACTATTGTCTCAGATGTCCTTCACAATAAGCAAAACCTTCATGGAGACAGAGATCTGTGATCGGATTGGCTAGCATTATTCTTACTCAGGAGCATGAGCCACCAACATGTGAATTATGACTTAGTAAATTCACACCCAAAACGAAGGGGCGATATGCTTGTAAAAAGACATCAACTATTAATTTACATGAGGTTATAAAATACTTTAAAAATATGTACATGATTATTTAAAAGGAGGTGCTCTATTTCAATAAGAAATTAGATACCTGAACTCATGGCCATGTCCAGAATTTCAATGGCTAACCAAATCCCCTGATTTCTCCCATTCAAAACAAATACAGATGAACAGAAAATGTGTGTATCTTCAGTTTAAACCTAAAAATTTTTTGTTCACATGAAACAACTTATTTTTGGAATTCATATTATTTGTGGATCAGGGCTCAGCCAAAAGGAAGACTTCCTCCTTTCAATGTCTAACTAGTTCCTCCTTGAAACCCAAATTTAAACATTTAAACACTGCAATCATAGGACTTTGAAATGCAGATTCATAAACGGAGCAATAATCTGTATACTTACCTTTTTGACTCTGGAGTGAAACTTTCTGAAGGCATTCCTAAGCTACGTTTCAACTGCACTACTATGTGTAGTAAAATTTAGTGCTTCTGAGCTTGGAAAAGAAAGTCAAACTACCACGGCAAGAGGACATTTTCCTTTTAGCACTTTCCAATTTCCTACCTTCCATTCAGAAAAGATAAGCAGGGCCTGTTAATTCAAAGGAAAAATGATTGCATTGCCAGATGCTGATGTACATACACATTTTGAATGCAATATGGTATATCTCAGTGCATTTATACTTCTGCCAAAGCCATATAAGCCACTGTGTACTTTGGTTTCCTTATTGCTGGAAAGATCAGATGCCTGGCACCAGGGAAAGCTTCTGATGGGTTGGAATTGAGTAAATCCTAGCTCCCACATACTCTGCTCATCCATAAACCCTGGCTAAAGGCGTGGTCATGTCTAGTTATTGGGGGTCTTGCAGCTATGACTCTAGGCTCTTGGTTCTAAATCCAGAGGGAAATCTGGAGTTTTTGTTTGGAGATAAACACTGGAGTGTTAGGTCAAGGTTGCTTGAATTGCACTTAACTTTTGGGAGGATGGAATATATATATCGTTAAGATCATCTTACAGCTGTCTGTCAGAATTTAAGAACTACTTAGCCAGGATCTGCCTGAGCACATAGGTGCTTGTTAATAAGATCACAGGACTATAATCTTAAAGACTGTTAACTGAAGACTTTGTGGAGAGAAAATCACTTTCAAATACTGCTTTAAAAGATTAATATCACCCTGGCTGAGTACCTCAGTTGGTTAGTGTCATCCCCATACACCAAGGCTGTGGGTCCGATCCCTCGTCAGGGCACATACAAGAAGCAACCAATGAATCCACAAGTAAGTGGAACAACAAATCGGTTTCTCTTCCCCTCCACCCCACCCCCTCTAAAATCAATTAAAAAAAAGATTAACGTGGCACTGAGTATATCAGTGAAAGTTTTGGGGACATTACTTAGAAATTCTGGCTTGAATGCTTTTAGAAAATTATGTATTTTTTCTCTTTAGTACTACACTTCCATGATCTTCCTTCAAAATTTATCTGTGTTGCCCTGTTTTAACTCAGAAGACAAATATGGAAGAACTGTCAGAAGAACAGTATTCTAAGATACCAACGAACTTATTACAAAAAGCTCAACAGCTGGTGTGCTATAAATGCTGGAGCAAAATAAGACAATTAAATGGTATATGCACTGGTATCAAAATGTGTTCAGTCTTCAGAGAATAAATGTCAAATGCATATTCAAACTGATACCACCATCACAACAGTCACTCTGAACACAAATGTGAAAAAGTGACTAAGACCCTTTTAACCATTAGTATATAATTTACATTACAGACAAGGCCTAAATCTATACAGAAAGTGAGACGCTACTGCTAGTAAGTTATTTTCTCATGTTTTATCTTTAGCAATATCTGAAAACCCAGTGAATCAGCCACAGAATATTTTCATATTGTCCATGTTAAGAAGCAATGCCACGTGGGTGAAAGCAAGTCCTCTAGGTTGAATCCATGGAAGATGATACCATCCAAAGAGAATGTTCTTTCAAGTCAGCCATATTTTTATTCTATCAGCCTAAGCAGAAAAATTTCCTTAGCCAATCAGTGTTTTAGAAAGGTTTACTTTGGCAAATTAAAAAAATTCTTATGTAAATATTTTGTCAAACATTAGATTAGCAAATGGCTCAGCAATTTTCTTAATCCAGTTTCCTTCTTTGACACTGAACAAGGATTAAACCAATGTCAGTTAAACTAAGTGAGGTCTGGCCCATTAAGAATATGTTTGCCCTCAGAAGACACCTTTTGTATCTCTATGAGAATAAAAATGAAATTTAGAATTGAGATCAAAGATTCAATTTGAAGGTCTAATTCTTAAGAATAAGAAATAGATGCTTCAGAAAATATTAATTTTTTTACTATAATTCCCTCCAACTGCCAGCTCCCAAATTTCACAATACATTTTCATTCCCAATTATAAAGACAGATGGAAACCACAAAAACCAGTCCCTTTCAGGGGAACATATATTTAATGCCCAATAGGGTATATTTAAAAAAAATCCTCACACCAAACACCGCACAGAGCTGTATTTCATATATTGGGTGTTCCACTAAAAGCCATACTGCAAACAATGAGTCTTGTTATAAAAGGATCACCTGCACAGTTCAAACGAACAGCAAAACCACACAGACATCCAGCAAAACCAAATGTGTTCACTTACTTCCGCGGTGGAAGAAGTTCAATTAAGAAATGTATGAAAAATGGCCTTCGAAATCTGCTATACCAAACACCTCTAAAGACAAGAAAAAAACAAAAAAAATCAAACTTTTGTTTTCCTGCTTTTTAATACAGTTGCCATCTTACATGAGGTGCCTTCTCAATAGCATCTAATCTACTTATTCGGTGCACCAGTTGGCATCCTAGGATAGAACTCTTATTATCATCCATGTTCATTAATTATGGCCTAACTGTTTTTCACTATGTACTGTTCTTAAGGACACTAAATCTAACTCATGGTTGGGCCATAATTAATGGGTAGTGGTATTTTTCTAAAAATGGATTAATGCACACATCCAAACCACATTAAAATTTCAACTTAAGAGTTCATACAAAATCTATTTCCTTTCTATAGTAGCTACAGTTGCAGATTACAGTTTTGAAATCCAGAAATGGAAACCATGTCTTTTTATTTTGTTGTTGATGCTTCTTTCTTCCTTTCTCCTTCCTTTTTTTTCTTACTTTCTTAATAACAAGGTTAAAAGAAGTGGGTTGTTAAGAAAATTAAAGTCTAGTAAACATCAAAAACTTATAGATCAGAGTGGTCACAGACTCTTCTTTATAGTGATGTTAAATTACCGACAAAATAATTTTTGAAAACAAAAATATCTAAAAGCCAGCACACGCCAGTGGTGCTGCTCATTTAAGCAACTGGCGCTCCTCTAGGCTCTTGAGGCGTTTCTTCCGTGGCTGTACAAAGTCATCGTCTGAGTCGTCACTAAATTTGTTATCTTCTGATTCATTTCTGAATTCAAGTTTAGGAAACCTTTTTTCTGGATAAAGGTTCTTTAGAAGTTCTTCAAAATAATTTTCAAGTTTTATACCAGCATTGGCTACTTCTGAATCAGGCTGTTGGATAAAAATATAAAAATATGAATTAAAAAACAAGCACCAACATTTCAGGCACCAAAAGTAGTAAATTTCTCACATTTTTGCTCCCTTTCAACTTGAGGTTAGGAGTGCCAGTGGACTGTTTTGGAAAAATGTCTGTGCAATGTCACTGATACAAAGTAAGTAATTATCTGGGGCTAAACAAAATATACAGAAGGTCAGATAAAAGGTAAATAAAAGGCTTTGACTTGTCTGGATTATTCTATAAGGACGTGGCAGTGGCAGGACCGGATTACAAAAGAGAGAAAAAAGATGCCATATTGTAAGCATTATATAATAGGTATTTTTAGAACAAAGGAAATGTGGAACTCTGGAATGAGTAATGGACATCTAGAACAAACCAGGAACAAAGGCTCTAAATCGGGCAGATATTTAGATAAACTGACAGATAAAAAAATTTTAAAATTAGAACTATTTAGGCCATATCCTTAGTAGTTCAAGATCAACATTAAAACGACTTAGTATGGAAGTGTTATA